CTTTTTCATCCATTCAAATGAGTCTTTTTTTTTTTTTTTAGGCAATTGGGTTTAAGTGACTTGCCCAGGGTCACGCAGCTAGTAAGTGTCAAGTGTTTGGTCTAAGGCTGCATTTGAACTCAGGTCCTCCTGACTTCAGGGCCAGTGCTCTATCCACTGCGCCACCTTGCTGCCCCTTCCGTTGAGTCTTGAAGCCAGTTTAATTGCCTTTTAAGAAAAAGAACTAGCCCATCCCCCATGGGAGGAGGCTGGTAATATTTCTACTACCACAACAAAAGATATGGTGACTCAGTTAAAGTGCTAGTTCACAATCCTGGGGAAAGTAAAAGACCAGTCTGGGCTACAGAGTAAGGAGTTTAACTGCCAGAGACCTTGAGAGGTGGGAAGTGAAGAAGAAATCATTTGCCAGGTGCCTTTGTTTCAGGGACTGACATAGGTCATAGCTGGTACAGAGGACAGCCAGGGATCTACTCTAGCTATACCTTAAGAATTGGTTCAACTCCAGGTGCTACCTCCTCCAGGAAATTTTCCCTGCTCCTTTTGCGTGTTGGTGCTCCTTCTTTTTTCTCCCCTATACTTAATTGTGTATTGCTGTGCTCCCCAGGTAGAAGGTGAGCTCCTTGGGCCTCCAGAGATGGTTGACTGCTACCTGCTTTTAGTGATCTGTGTCAGAGACCCATGATACTTTCAGAAGGAACCTAGAAAGTGCTGTAAGGGAGGATGAAATTCTGGTCAAGAAATGGAAAACTTTAGGGTACTGGTTGTATTTTCCTGCCTGCTGCTGATTGTAGGCCAGAACTTCAGATTTGGGAAGTGAACAGCTGGTTAAGAAGGTGGTGTCAGAGAACAGGATTTGGGTTTCTGTACTGGGGCTTAAAAAGTGAGAATGATGGGCCTTGGCTCAGAGGTAGAGTACACCCACAGAGGAGTGCTGACGTAAATGTTTGTCTAGTCTCCAGTGTTACAAATCTGATCAAAAGGAAAAGACAGAAGGAAGTCGAAAGCTGCTTACCCAGAACCACCGAGCTAGATGAGAGAGTAGCTACAGCATAGGAAGAAGAGTGGCAGGAGAGACGCCCAGTAAACCGAAGGACGTAGGATCCAAGAAAGGACCAATAATAAAACCTGTGGTCCCAGGTATTTACACACAAGTGTGTGTGAAGTGTAACAAGCAGGTGTGCAAGAGATCCTAATTCAGAGAGACAGAGTTTACCTAAGTTTCATCTAAGACTTGATTGGGATGGAGCTCATATCAGAAACATGCCACTGGGAAGGTATACTTTAATAGGAGCAGAATAGATCCCAAGAGGCAGAGCAGGCCAGCATTGTTTAAGGTAAATTTACTTGAGGAAATCCAGGAATGATAAGGAGTGACTGGAGAAATGAGGCATGACATGGAAGCCTTTGGATGAAAAACCAGCAGGGGGAAAAATGAAGATTATGTTCAGAGTATTTTATAGACTACCTTGACAAAAGTAGGAAATTAATTAAGAGCTTAGGAAACATCCCAGGTCTGAAATAGAAGTGTGATATAGTAGTGATGGAAGATTTTAATCTTCTATACTTCCTGAAGTGTGGGGCGGGGCCCAAGGCAGAACAGCTAATAAATGTGTGGTTTCTTCTAGTGATGATGATCATTTATCCTTCAGAAGCAATGAGGGGAACTGATACTCTACTTTATTCTAACCAAAAGGGAGAAATTGGTTACCAAGGTTGAAATGAAGCAAACATTTTTTTGTGACATATTTGTGACTATTCCATCTTACAGTTTGTGGTAGAGAAAGAGAAGAAAAGGAGGAATTAGTCCAATGTGCACCATGATCAATCAGTCAATAAGCATTTATTAAACACCTTCAATGTAGTAGGCACCGGGGACCCAAAGACAAGATGAATGTCTACACCCTCAAGAAGCTTACATTCCATTGGATGAGACAGCATGTCCATATTCAAAGTGATTAAAAGGTAACTCAGGGGCTCTGGTGAAGCCAGAAAAGACCTCCTGTAAGAGGTTTTAAACTTGAGTTGGGCTTGGAAGGAAACTGGGGTTTTTAGAAGGTGAAGGTGATGAGGAAATGGATTCCAGGAAGGGCTGCCTCCTGTGCAAACGTGTGGCACTGAGAGATGAAAAGTTATGTGTGACAAGGACCAAGAAAGCCCGTTTGACTGGACTATAAAGTGTGCTAAGGGGAGTAACGCGTGATAAGCCTGGAAGTGTTGGTGGGAGCTAGATTGTGAAGGCCTTGGAACGTCAGACAGTTGTTTATGTTTGATCCTTGAGACATTGGCAAGCAATAAGCATTTCCTTTGCTGAGGAGTGATGTGGCCTGGTCTCTGTTTTAGGAACACCATTTTGGCAACTGTGTGCAGGATGGATTGGAGTGAGGAGAGGCTTCCAGCATAGAGACCAGTGAGGTTATTGCAGTAATGCAGATGATAGGGCCTGACCTAGGATAGTGGCAGTGTAAGTAGAGGGATAGAGGGAAGGCCATGGATGAGAGAGATGGGGGATGGAGCATTGAGGAGACTTGATTACTGATTGGATCAGTGGAGGGGGAGGACTCTGAGACTGCAGATCAAGTAAGGATGGTAGTGCCTTCAGCACAAACAGGAAAGTCAGGAGGAAGAGGGAGTTGTGGGTAGGGGTGGAGGAATAATGACTTCTGTTTGGATGCCTGTGGGAAAGCTCAGTGTGTTTGGTCATCTTGGCCACAGGGTTCATTGTCTTGTGGCTGGAAGAAAGGGAGCTGGTCGTGAGAAACGCAGGGTTGTTTCACAGCTTAATATTTTTGGTCATCGGTGGTTGAAAAGAAGGTGCTGGGGGTAAACTTCACAGTGCATCTCGCTACTGAAAGAGACTCATGGGACAGGCGCGCTTCCTTCCACAGGTTTTCATGCTCAGATTCACATCTGGTTCTGGGTCCTTTGTGGAGCCAGCCTCCTCCAGTGGGGTCTGACCTCACTGCCCTCCCCAACACAAGGAATGTTCCTTAAGGCATAACCTGTTTTTTAACTTCTAATAGGAATCTGAGGTTAATATTTTATCCCGAAGGCCACAGGGAGTAAATGAACATCATCTGAGTGGGAGTGACTTAGTCAGTCCTGTGCATCAGGAAGATTATTTTGTCAGGAATGATGGATTAGAGAGGGGGAGAAACCAGGGACAAGGAGGCCAATTAGGAGGGGGATAGAGTAGTGCAGGCCTGAGGTGAAAAGTCCTGAGGAGGGTAGCTCAGGCCCCAGAACACACTCCTCGTTTATCTTTGCTGTTAAAGAGAGCTTTCTTGTTCTTCCAATGGTTCACGTGAAAGGCCCAGCCCTGTGCTTCCAAGAAGCCATCATGGAAGCCTAGCTGAAGGTGAACTTTCAGTCTCCTTTGCCTTTGCCGTTCTCTGCTTTGCATTCCCTTTGCACACCTGGCATTCCCTTTGCACGCACTCCCCCACTCCCAGTAAACTGTAAACTCCCTGAGGACAAGGCTGGCCTTTTTCATCTTTTTGCCTCAAGTACTTCCTTGCACTCAGGAGGTGAATGTTTGTTTGGATTGAGGATGGCATGATGGATGATGCAGTCTGAGAACCTAGAAGGAAATACTGGGAAAGTTACACCAGAGGTCTGCTTGATAAAATGGCAGACTTGGAGCCAGAAATCCTTGCGTCTCTATCCTTCCTCTGGCACTGAAAGGCTGCTTTATGGCTGAACCTCAGTTTCTTCGTCTGTAAAACGGCACGTTACCTGTTATCCTAAGACTTACATGAGATAATGCGTGTGAAGAATTTTGCAAACCCTGAAGCATCTGCCAGGTTTTTTTTTTTTATTATATAAAAATAAGCGCTAAGTAGAAATGGATGAATTAGAGGAAGAGCCCTCTACAAATGTTTTTAAGAGCTTGTAGGGAATAGAATTAGGGCAAAGTAAAGCTCTCCTGTCAAATGTTGTCAAACCCAAGTTTTCTCTGACCCCAGAGCAAGCATTCAAAAAGAGGGATATTATCTTGATGCAATTACTAAAGACTCTGGGCCCCATGTCGAAAGGTTGTAGAGAAGAGGGGGTGGGCAGGTAGGTGATAGCCCCAAGGGAGGTTACAGATCTTTGTAGAGAAAAGAAGGAAAAACCACAATTTCTGGGACAACAGGAATGCTAGTCAGATGGGTTATCTAGTACATTTGAAGAAAAAGGAACAACACACTGTAGAGAAAAATGAAAATGTTAGTTGATTGTGTTTTAAAGAAGCTTGTAACACGTTTATGTGGTACTGTGAGGTGGCTATGCAAGTGTTATTAACACCAACTTTACAAATGAAAAAACTGAGGCAGTGAGAAGGAATTTGCCTCTCTTCCAATCCAGGTCTCTTTTTCCCCTGTAATACACTGCCTCCAATACGGAATTCATTTGTAGCTGTGGACATTTTACTGCCAGAGACATGGTGACTCTCTATTGGTTTTGCTTCCCCGGTTTTTTTGGTTACAAGGAAGTGCTCGCTATAAGGATTGGGGGGGACACCTGAAATAACTGTAAGGTAAAAATTACATCATCAACAGAACTTAGAAAAATAAGCCACCGATTGTATGGCGTGATACCCGAATCTGTCATTCTCATGCAGCAAACTATCATGTTAAGTCTTTTTTTTTCTTTTTTTAGCTCCTTAAACATTCGCTAAAGATTTATAATTGTAACAGTTATGTCCACTGACAGTCATACTGAGTTCCCTTTTTTGACACATTTTGTCCATCATGTTCCTTTCTCTGATCTGGATGGTAGCATTTACTTCATTACCAGCCCATCGTGTGACTGACAGAATCCGTAATAACCCTTCTGGATCTCAGGTTATAGCTCATCTTTAGGAATGAGCAGTGTAGACTTGGGTGGTAATACTTGCCTTACTTAGCTCGTGCTGGAATACACTTAGATCTTGGAGATGAAAGATGTCAGAAAGCATAAGGTGGTGCTGTTTAAAATTAAGGGAGTAGTTAGAAGTGAATTTTTTGTTTATTTCTTATCAGAAACCCTAATGATGAAAAATACAGATCTATCCGGATTGGAAATGCAGCCTTTTCTACTAGACTCTTGCCTGTCAGAGGAGCAGTTGAATGCTTGTTTGAAATGGGCTTTGAAGAAGTAAGTATTTTGCAGGAACTTGTCAGTTTTACCCTCGCCAGACGTGTAGAGATGGGTGCTTCCCCACTGGAGTCATTCATGAAATGGTGAATTAATTCTTTTAGCTCTTAGACTTAGAAAAACCCCAGTATATGTCAGCTCTAATTTTACTGGCCTGAATCTCTTAGGTTAAATAAAGTACTGTAGATAACTATTTTTTTTGGCTTTGAGAATGATCTAGAAAATGTGTGTGAGCACCAGTGCCCTGACCCTCCCTGATGCCCTGCCATCTCCTGTTACTAGTTTCAATTTGATCATATCACCGTAGATTTAAAGAAGGAAAGGACCACAGACTGCAGAGAGGTCAATACAAAGGAAGTAAGGGGCAGAGGGAGGATTTGTACTCAGGGCTGTCGAACTCAAAGGCCACTGTTCTGTCTGCTGTGTCCCCCAATGCCCTCGTGTATTATTTGGGGAACACTAGGGCGTGGTGCTTTGTTTTTTGTTTTTCCCAAAGGAGAGGGGAACATGTACGTTTTCATAGCTTATCTAAAGTTTTTTTGGATTAAGTTTCAAGAAAGAAAAGATCTTACTTAAAAAGTCTTTGCCTGGAAAAGGTAGTCCAAAAGTTTTGTGCTGATAAACTGAGAACATTCTACATGGTTCTGGTTGCATGTGTCTAGGACAAAATAGACCTTGGTCCCTATGAGCTAATGCTTAGTTAGTGGTATCGCAGCGCATAGCAGTTCAGGGGTGCCATAGTACACAGAACACTGGCCTGGAGTCAGGAAGACAGGAGTTCAAATCCTGCCCCGGACATTTACTAGCTGTATAATTCTAGGCAAGTCATTTCACCTCTGTCTGCCTCAGTTTCCTCAACTGTAAAATGGGAATCATAATAGCCACCTACCTCCCAGGGTTGTTGTATCAAATGCAGTAATAATTGTAAAGCATTTAGCACAGTGCCTGGCACATAGTTAAGTGCTATATAAATGTTAATCATTATTATATAGTAGGTACTTTATACATATTTGTGGAATTATAGCAGCACATTCTGCCATCTTGGTTTCTAACAAATAGGCAGCAATCAAAGGATGAATTTCTGTATTTTTGTCTATTTCAGGGAGAGACACATCTTGTGTTTCCCAAGAAAGCATCAGTCAAGCAGCTTCAAAAAATCCGTGACCTAATTGCCATAGAGAGAAGTAGCAGATTGAATGACTCAGATAAGACCCCCACACCTCAAAGCCCCACGAGTGATGCTCAGCCCGTGACCTCCCAGCTTTCCAGTCCTGCCGAGTTAACACAGCACCCGGCCAACAGTCAGCCGCAGTCAACAGCTACATGCTCTGCTCAGATGGTAATTCTGGGTCTGAATGTTAAAATTGTAAAAAACGTTTAAATAGAATTAACACTGACAAGCCCTTTGAGAGAGAGGTCATTTAAAAATCATTTCCTGAGTTATGCCAATTATTCTTGAGGCTTCTTATCCCCACACAGGAAACCCTTCATTGTTGCCTTTAAACTGGCTGTGTGGCTGCCAGGTTAGTCATGAGATTATGAAAAAATGTTCTCTTTTCTTTTCTTGACACGTGTGCCCTCATGTTGGTGTTTTATTGTAATGAGGAGATGCTGAGTTACTTATGGCTGCCCCCTACATCCTGCTTCATTTTTTATTTAAAGTAGTAGTTCCTAAACTGTGAGCCTGATAAAGTGATTTGCAAGGGATACAGCTTATTAAGTGACTTAAATATAATCCGTAAGCAAACACTTGCTGTAGACAGAATAAATATTTCATACAGGTTACTGTTTTTTGAAATAATAGGTGCTGTTTTGATTAATAAAATATAAGTTCGTTTAAAAGTATTACTGAATCCATAATAACTTTTTGTCATATCATTTCTCAAAGAATACTAAGAGTATTCTTAGGGGATCTGTGAAATTTTTTATAATCAGAAAGTTGTTAATCAGAGATTGGGGTTTGTTGCTTTACGTGTGTCTGTTAGCATAGATCAGCAGTACAAATTCCTGGGGTCTGGGTGACAGTTCTACCTTTAAAAATGTTACGAGTTGGAATGGATTGCTTACCTGAACCATACCTTAGAGATAATTTAGTCCAAAAGCACGATATAACAATGGTGGGGGACTTCAGTTAACTAGACATCTTCTGGAACTCTCTGCTTCTTGAGTTACCTTAGCTATAAATTCATTCTACAAAAGGTGCTGGTTCCCACCAGGGGAAATTTTATTCTGTATCTAATTGCACTAACACAATTTTGCAGGGGTGGAAATTTTGGGAACCCTCAGGGGAAGTGATCCATTTCTTTTAGAATTTGATAAGAAAAAGATCCAGGCATAGTCTGCCATGCATCCTAGATTTGGGGAAAACATTTCAAAAGGTTCAGAAGAAACATAGAATGTTTTCTTTCACAACATGACTGTTACGGATATGTTTTGCATGACTATACACGTATAACGCATATTGAACTGCTTGCCTTCTCAGTGCGGGGATGGAGGGAGCAAGGGAGAGAATTTGAAACTCAAAGTTTTATAGATGAATGTTAAAAATGGTTTTTACATGTAACTGGGGAAAATTAATTAATTTTTAAAAAAGAAGAAATATAGGTGCCTAGATTAAAGGTGATTGAGGTGATCCGATCCCAATCTCTGGAGGAGGGGGGAACCATGGACCAAGCCCCCTGAACATGGAAAGGGCCCTTAATCCTGTTGGTCCAGTCATATCCTTGGAGGGAAGTCTGAGATTTGAACCCCTTCGGGGGAGCACGGCCTCAGCCAGTTTTGATTGTGATCCCAAGATTGGGGATCTGAGACTCTGCACTCACTTCCTATAATCTGAGACTCAACCTGCAGGCCAGGAATGGAGCTACAGAATATTTAGTCTTAGCTCCCCAAGAATGAAGGAAAGGGGAAGGAAATAAGCATATAAATATATCTATATATCTATATCTATACCTATATATATCTATATATAGATATATATGTTACCTACTGTGTGCCAGGCACCATGCTATGCACTTTACAGTTATCTCCTGTGATCCTCACAACAACCCTTTGAGGTAGGTGCTATTGTTATCCCTACTTTTACAGTTGAGGAAACTGAGGCAAACAGAAATTAAGTGACACGGCTTGTAAGTGTCTGTGTCTGGATTTGAACTCAGGTCTTCCTGACTCCAGACCCAGTGCTGTATGCATTGTGGAGTCCCTATCTGCCTTAAATAAGTGAACAAAAATGAACTGTTACGATGCCAGGAATGCTCAAGACAAACCAGCTCAGAAGAGGAGAATAACTCCAAACATGTACAAGCAAAGCCTTCTCCCTCCTAACCCCCCAACTCCAATAAAAGGCACAGCTTGCCTACAAGATCAATTAGAATTCCTAGAGGAAATTATATCAGTTTGGAACATGAGATTAAAATGAGATTATAAATGAAATACATGATAGGGGAAAGAATTGGAAAAGAAATGAAAGTTATGGAGGAGAGATTGGGGGGGAATTAATAGCTTAGCATAACAGGTACAAAAGCTTTTTTAAGTAACAGATTCCCTGAAAAGTTGAACATTCCAAGCAGAAGTCATTGATTCCGTAAGACAACAGGAAATAAAAGATTGAGGAAAATAGAAGAAAATATCCCATCAAAAACAACTGACCTGGAACACAGATCAAGGAGAGATGATTTAAGAATTGTTGAGGGACTTCCTGGTCACGTGACCAACGATGGAGAACTAGAAGTTTCTCCAACCCCCACGTCCTCTCAAATGTCTCCAAATCAGGAATTACATTCCAGAGATAAAGCAATGTCAGCTGTCTCCATGATCAAGGACACAAAGAACCCTGAAAGATAAACACTTATAATCCCTAATCGCTAAGGTGGTTACTCACCCCCTGCTTCACCACCACCCACCACACTCCCAGCAATGTTGTGTAAGCTGTCCTGTTACGCACTTGGAACAAAACTTAAATCTATACCCTTATTCCCCGCTCCCTCGCCCTCCAATATACTCAGTCTGTGATAGCAGTGGGGCAGCATCTGTGCCACCACAAGATCAGTCAGAGAACCGGGCAGATGGGGATGAGGCATGTGTGTAACTGCATTCAGTTGGACTAGTTCTGTCTCCTCCCCCACCCCCGAAGTCACTTATGGCAAAACCAAGGCTAGTGAATCAGGAGTTGCCAGTCACAGGAGGAGGCTGAGATGGTTTGAGATCCAATCAAAAGAATCCATAGGTTGTTTCTAGAAAGAAAAGGGGAAAAAAAGCAAACCCTGTACTGCAAACTTCAAGACCCATAGGGATTAAATTTAATGATTCCATTGGAACAACAGGCTTTCCAAGGAACCAGGAGAAAGACCTTCAAATATAAAGGAAATGAAGTGTGGACTACATTAGCCTGTTCTGTACCCACCAGAAACTAAAGGATGGGATGGTGAAAATGTGTTCCAAAGACCAAAGGAGCTCAGGATGAAACCCAGGTGACATACATGAGCCTGCTCATAAATGAAAAAAAGATAGGTGTTCATTAAAAAGAGATGTTCAGAACATTCCCAGAAATAAAGCCAGACTTGAAGAAACTATTTATTCTCAAACACACCAGGCAACAGAGAGGTTGGGTAAAGAAATCAACCTAAGACAGCAACAACAACATCCAAAGAACAACTGTTAAGTCATTAAGAAATTTCTTTCTAAATGTAAAGAAGGATGAAAGCAGAAATCAAATAGAACCAATGGTGAAGAAATAGGCCTGAAACATCATGGGCTAAACCTCAAAACACCCAGCCCACAAGTGAGTCCTTTTTTTTTTTGGTAGGACTAAATTATAAAATGGAAATTTACAAAATGGAAGGGTGTAAAGAAGGGGATAGGGGATGAAAAAGTTAGAGGGGAATATGTGATGTGTCCCAATCAAGTCCAAGGCTAAGAATGAAGGGGAAGTAACTCCTGGGTCTCTCGGGAAGAAGAAACTATACAGGAAAAGATCAAGGAGTAAAGGAAGGGATTGAAAAAGGAGAAAAGAATGAGGAAAGAGCTTGTTTCAGTGGTGGGAGGGAGTACCCCTGATGAATACACTTACAGAAGAATAGAGATACTCTGTAAAGGGAGGTAGGGACTTGGAGGAATTTGGTGCTTAGAGAAACCACTCATCCTGCCTTAGGAGGAGGGGAGTCCCCGGGGGCAGCTGACCTCCAAAAGAGTGGAGGACGTGGGTCCAGAAAGAGAGTTAGAGGCAAATTTGGTGGGGAGGGAAGGGTTTCCTATGGGAATTGATATTTCTGAGATGAGGCAGGAAGAAAAAAGGGAGCTGGGGATAAGACCTACAGAGCAATAACAAACTCTTTAGAAAAGGGAACCTTAAATAGGTACCTTGAAGGCCTAATTCCATGAAGAATACAGAGGATAAAGAAGTCCTAAATAAGTAAAAGGTCTGTGAATCAAAGAATAGCGGTACACAAGAGATGGGGAAGAAAAATCAAGAGAATGAAGGGGAAAAGTCCTTTTTAGAAAAAGGCATGGAAAATTAAGTTTTTTTAAAAAAATGAACAAAACAAGTTGAAGGGGGAAGAGATGAAGGGGAATTCTACTTGATACTTAACTGAGAATGGAAAAAAGAGAAAAATTAAATAACTAGAAAAAAACAAGAAATTAAAAAAAAAAAACCAAACTAATAAGCAAAACTCCCAAACTAGGAAAGAGGTTAAAGATTGGGTAAGGACCATAAGAGTAAGGGGCATAGAGCTGGTATGAATATAGTTGCCTTAGACTAGATTAAGCTAAAATAGCTGAAAACATAGTGCCACATTTACAGAGAAGGGGAGGGGGACCCTAATTTTTTGGGGGGGAAGTATTAGAGACAAATGGAGGAAAATAAAAATCTAAATTTAATAACTATAAATGTGAATGGATTAAACAGTTCAATAAAACGAAAAAGAATAATGGATTGAATAAGAAAACAACACCTACAATCTGTTGCTTGCAAGAAACACATTAAAAATAAAATAAAATAGACATTAAAAATCAAAGAGTAAAGAGTAAAATTTTTACAGAGTAAAAATGAGGGATTAGAAAAAATTTTCCATGTATCAAGTGAATCCGAAGAAGCGGGAGTTGAAATCATACTGACAGACAAAGCAAAAACAAACATTTGAAACCTAAAAGGGATAAACAAGGAAACTACATTATGCTGAAAATAACTATAGACCACAAACCATTGTCAATGTTAAACTTATATGCTCCAAATGCCTTAGCGTCTTAATTAATAAAGGAAGCATTAACCAAGTTATAAGAAGATAATAGAGAGTAACACAATAGTGACAGATTTTAATGCCCTTCTTTCAGTTTTGAATAAGTCTAATAGACAGATAAAAGGGAAAAGATAAAACTGAACAGAATCATAGAATTGCTGTAGAAATTAGAGCTAAAAGATTTATGGCATCTCCTAAATGGAACCGCTAAAGAATATATGTATTTCCCAGAATCACTTGGAACTTGAATAAACATTGGCCATGTATTAAGCTAGCACAGAGATATTCCTGTAAATATGTGAAAAGACAGAAATAGTAAATGCATCTTTTTGAACCATGATGCAATAAAAATAGTAATCATTTCAGGGATCACAAACAAAAAACAGAGACCCAAATGGAGACTTTAACAATGAAAACCTAAATAATGAGTTGCTCAGAGAACAAATCATGAAAAAATTATGAGAAAAAAATGATAATAATGGAACAACACATCAAAATTTCTGGGACGCAGCTAAAGCAAATATCCCTATAAACATACATTAACAAAAATGAACTGAATGTGCATTTTAAAAAATGAGAAAACCAACAAATAAGCAAATCTAAAATAAAAACAGAAGAGGAGATATTAAAAAAATTAGAGGAGAAATGAATAACTGGAAACAAAAAAAATTGACAAACCTTTAGCAAATCTGATTAAAAAGGCAGAAAACGAGTTCAACAAATAGCAAATGAGCAAGGTGAAATCAAAACAAAACCAGAAGAAACAAAAAAGCGTAACCAGAACCTATTATGCACAGTTATATGCTAACAAAACTGAGAACACAAATGAAATAAATACTGTTAAAAATGTTAAACACCCAAACTAAAAGCCAGTTAGAGACCTTAAAATCACCTAATATCAAAAAAGAAAATAGAACTAGTCATAAAGGAACTGCCAAAGGAAAAAAACTCCAGGTCCTGATGGATTCACTGGAGAGTTTTATCAAACTTTTAAAAAACAAGTAGGGCCCATCCTACAGAAATTATTCGTACCTTACCAGAATTTTTTTTTTTATGAGACAGATATAGTCCCGATACCTTAATTAGGGAAGCATAAAACACAGGAGGACTGTAGATCAATATCATTAATGAATATAAGTTCAAATATTTTAAATAAAATTCTGTCAAACAGACTACAGCAATTTATCCAAGAAGTCATTTATTATGACCAAGCCAGATTTATATCAGCAGTGTGAGGATGGTATAACATTAGGAAAATAACTAACATGATATTAAAAACAAAAACATCTAAAACCATACGATCATCTCAATAGATGAAGAAAAAAGGCTTTGACAAAGTACAACACTCATTTATGCAAAAATTCCTACAAAGAGGGTTCTTTTTTAATATCATAATTTATCATATAATATATCACAACAACATAATATAAAATCTAAAATAAAAAACAAGCATCATGTGCAATGGAGATACACTGAGAAGGAAGGGAACATTTATTGAGTGCCTACTATGTTCCAGGCACTGTGCTAACTGTTTTACAAATGTTCTCATTTTGATCTCACAACCATCCTGAGAGGTAGATCCTATTACCTCCATTTTGCAGTGAAGAAATTGAGACTGACAAGGGTTAAGTGACTTGCCCAAGGTCACACAGTAAATCTGAGGTAAGATTTGAATTCAAGTCTTCCTAGTTCCAGGCTCCGTGCACTCTATGGCACTGCCTAGCTACCTTTTCTTGTAAATTAAGGGAGTAAAGCAAGGGTGCTCATTCTCCCCACTGTTATTAGACATAGTTCTGGAGATGCTGGCAACAGCAATAAGAAATTAGAGATGCAAAGATATGTAAAGAAGATATAAAAGCATTCCTGTTGGTCAATATATGATGATAAACTTGGAAAATTACAGAGAATCCATGTAGTTACTAATGGACAGTTAATGGTCTCGGCAAAATTTCGGGCTATAACAAAAACCCTCAAGAGTCAGCAGCATTTCTGTATAATAATTAAAAATCCAAGAGGCAGTATGAGAGAAATCCCCCTCCATATTATTTCAAAGTATCAGGGGCTTGATTGACCTACCAGTGGACACAGAAGATTTGTGTAGAATCAAATACAAAGTGCTCCTTAAAGACAGAAGAAACATGTGAAAGCGCTTCAGGAGCATTTGATGCTTGTGGTTGCCTCATGCCAAAGTTAATTTACACTTTTAATGGTATGCCAATCAAAGGGATAATTTATAGAACTGGATAAAATAATAAAAAAATTCATTTGGAAAAATAAAAGATCCAGAATATCCAGGGAAATGATGAAGAGAGTTGGGATGGAAGGAGAATAGTACTTTCCAAATTCAAATTATATTATAAAGCAGCAGTCATTACAACCATCTGGTGCTGGTTAAAAATAGCGAGGTCAGTCGGTGGAACACACTAGACAAGGGAGAATCAGAAACAGTAAAACTCGGTGTCCAAATCTGAAAACACAAGTTACTTAGGAAGGAATTTCTGTTTGACCAAAAACTTCTGGGAAACCTGGAAAGCAATCTGGCAGAAATTAGGCTCAGACCAACAGCTCACACCATATTCACGATAGGTTCTAAGTGGAGATGCGATCTTAATATTAAAGATCGTGCTATTAAGAAAAAATCAGAAAAGGAGCAAATCAAAGACTTCTCCCAGTTATGAATAACAGATGTCTTCTGAACCTACCCAGGAGCACAGGCAGGAATGTGCCTGGAATGACCATTCTTCTGCCTGCTTCCTTTCTTTGACTCTAAGCAAAGCTTGAGTGCCAGCTTCCTGATCCTGCCTCCTCCGTGAAAACTACCTATTTATTGTTACAAGTTCACAGATATTTGTGTAGGTCCATAGTGTCTCCTCTGATAGAATGTAAGCTTTTGCAGGTCAGGGAGTATTTCTTTTTGTCTCTGCCTCCCTCGTGCTCGGTACGGTCTAGTACCCAGGAGATGCTTCATTGGTGCTTGTGGATTGACTGACTGATTTTTGTGTTTGTTCCCAAAAAAAAACACCCACCCTTCTAAACAAGGAGTAGTAGAAGGAACTGAGAATAATCGTGTATTGCTTAGGTTGTGTGCCATTGTTTAAAGCTTTGACTTGATGTATTTTATTACGTATATATTTTTGTTGTCTTCTACATAAATAGCCTATGTAGTATGCACAGTGGGATAATTTTTGTATAAGAATCCTCCAGTTACTTCCTTCATTTGTCTACCTGAACAGCAGCTATCTGCTACTTGGAATTCCTCAATTCAGAATTCATGTCCTTCATTCCCTGTTGACCTTTATGCTCATACATTCCCATAGAACCGTGCTCCTGCTGGCCGTGGTTTTTAGATCATTCCTGTTAGTATGAGTGACTCAGAGCCTAAAAAGATGAGGAGGATTCTATCTCCAGGTTTGTTACTACTTCTTCGGGGAGAAATAGATGGTGTGAAAGCAAGATTGACTTAAGAAGGACACACACACACACACACACACACACACACACACAGGCAGTTAGTGAACAGCTGGTCTAAATTTATACTTTCGCTAGCCAAGTGTTAGTTTCAGAACATGTGTGAGTTTTTATGTGCTTTTCTTAGCAACTAGAGTGGTGTATGAGTTACTGCCATGTGTGGAGGGTTTTTTTTCCCCCTTTAAAAGAAGTAATCACTATTTGAGAGCTTGTGGTGTTAGAAGAGTCATAAAAATAGCCAGCCCAGTTTTAGTTTCAGCAATAAAAATCAGATTCCTTTTGTGTTAGATTCTGTGTTCGTGTGTCAGTGTACAGGTAAGAAGAGGAATTGTTATATGTGAGGAGGTGCAATTTACATCTCTGCCTTCTTGTTTCCTCATTCCCAAAGGTGATTTAGAAGATACTAATTGACAAAAAGTGGCATTTAAACTTGTCCAAATAAGTAAAAACTCTTCTTTTTGAAATTACAAGCAAAATGCAGGGATGAGAGTCACATCCAGCAGTTTGGCCGAGGCCTACCGGAGCTCAGGCTAGAGAGAGAGAGAGAAAGGTCTTTATCTTCCTGGTGACGAAAGGCACTTGTGGGTGCAGCTTCTGTTAGACGGAAGCTGATTTTATCCCACTGACTTGACAGCCTGTGCCAGATGTGTGCTTTTCTCCCAATGAGTCTTAAATACGTCTTCATCTTCCTCCTAGGAATGCAGAGTTGGCCTCCACTTAATGAGAAGCCACCTCCTAGATCTCCAACATTACATTTCCCATTCTAACATTGTCTTTCTTCTGCAAGCGTCTCCGACTACTCCAGACTATTAACTCCTGCATCTTGTAGCTGTTGCCTTAGTACATGGTTACCAAAGCGGCTGTAATAGCCTTGTAATCAGCAGTTTATTTTTACGTCTGCACTTATCTGAGCTGTGCCAATGCATGCATAAAGAAATAAACCTTGTTATTCAAATGCTATTAAAATCACAAGTAGTGAAGTAGTTTGCAAATTGAAAAAGACAAAATTGAAAATGAAAGCACTTTTGGAAAACTCTCCTCCCCCATTCCATAAATGAGAGTTTGAGTGGAAAATTACCACAAAAGGAACCACTATAAAAACTCATTTTAATAAGAAAAAACAGCCTTGAACAATGCAGTTAAAGCCTTTGTTCTGTTCTCCTGTAAATACTGATAAACGTTCATATTTGGTGGCTTAAGTCTGTAAAATCCATGATTAGTTTTAGTAGAGCTATGTCACAGATTTGTGTCACAGGTAAACTGCTGATTCATCAGGTCTCCAGAATCGTCGTAAATATATCAAACATGCTTGTTTGTTAGCTTGTAACTGAGGTGCAGGCCTATGTCATGTAACACCAGTGATAAGGTGGCACCATTGGGTTAAACATCGCTCTTCGTAATGAACCAGTTCATCCTGTTTTAAATAGAATAGATTTTAGTATTGTAGATCTTAGGAAAGAGTTTTTAAATTGTTTAGATAAAAGTTAAGATCAAGAGGTTTAGTTGTTTGTTTGTTTGTTTTCCTCCATAGGAGGAACCTGATTCAACCATTCTAAAAATGCTTCAGACCAAGTTTGAGGATGTACTTATCTATGAAAACCTTTCTCTTCAGAAGAAAGCTTTGACTTGTATTCCAGTCCAAGAATTGCAAAGAAGAGCTCAAGAAAAATTTGAAAGAGCTAAAAAATTGGATCAAGGTAGTACTTTGACTATTCATTATATTCTTGGGTATAAAAGTAAAAATATTATACTGCTTAGAAAGAATTAATATAGCGCATTCTGTACACTGTCTAAACTTTCTCAAATTGTTTATATGTTTTAAAAGATCAGTAGTAATAAACACAACTCTGTGCACATATTTATATATACAGACATAGCACCTATATGAGTCATGTCAGTACTTGAAAATAATCATTCTTCCTGATTTGACACGTTACCAACTTAATGATCTGTTTAATATATGGCTGCTGTTTATGGCTCTGTGAGTAGATCAAAAATTATTTTGAGTCCTAAGTAAAATTATCATTGTTACATTCTTTAATTCCAGAGGCTAATATGTGTATGTGTGTGTGTGTATGTATAAATAAATAAAATACTAGGTTGAGAATAGAAGGGTCAACACCATTGCTTAGCCCAGTGCCTGGCACATAGTTTTTTCCCAAGTAATTTATGTTTTAGGGTTTATTATATGTTGTAAGGTTGCATTGTGTGTATTGTATTGGGTTATTGAGTTCAGTTAATTCTGATTCTAATTTATCTAATTGTTCCACTGACCTTTTTTAAACCAGTACCAAGTAATTTTGATGATTACTACTTTATCGTATCACACTTTTTTTCACTTTTTCTCTGGGTATTCTAGATTTTTTTGTTCCTCCAAACAAAATTTTCATTACCTCCTTACCTCTGTAAAGTATTCCCATGATAGTTTTATTGGTATAGCACTAAATCTGTAAATTAATTTAAACAATATTGTCATTGGCCTAGTCGTGAGTATTGAATATTCTTATAGTTCTTTATCTTGTTCTTTATTTCCTTTTTTTTTTTTTTTTGGCGAGGCATTTGGGGTTAAGTGACTTGCCCAGGGTCACACAGCTAGTACGTATCAAGTGTCTGAGGCTGAATTTGAACTCAGATTCTCCTGACTCCAAGGCTGGTGCTTTATCCACTATACCACCTAGCTGTCCCTTCTTTATTTCTTTTTTTTTCTTTCTTTCTTTTCTTTTTTTTTTTAGGCAATTGGGGTTAAGTGACTTGCCCAGGGTCACACAGCTAGTAAGTGTCAAGTGTTTGGTCTGAGGTCGAATTTGAACTCAGGTCCTCCTGACTTCAGGGACGGTGCTCTATCTACTGCGCCACCTAGCTGCCCCCCTCCCCCCTTTATTTCTTTAAGGAGCATTTTGTAACTGCATCTAGACATCATCTGTTCAGTGTTCTTTGATGGACTGCCATATATTTTATGTATTTTGTAGTAACTCTCAATGTCATTTTCCTTTCTATTATTCTCCCGTGTTTAGTTATAGCTGGTAGAAATGTTATTGATTTTTGTGGGTTTATTTTGAATTCAGTACTTCAGTGAAGCTATTAATTGTTTTAATTGCTTTGCTAATTCTCTAGGATTTTCTAAATTAAACCATCATGTCACTTGCATATAGAGTTTTGTCTCCTCTTTGCTTATGCCTCTGATATCTTTCTTTTATCTTACTGCTATTGCTTGCATTTCTAGAATTATATCAAATAACAGAGAAAGAGACATCCTTGCTTTATTTCTGTATTTATTGGGGAAATTTCTAGTGTTTCCCAGTAGATTTTGATTTTAGATACTTTTCATCATATTTTTAAATGTCCCTCTAAGCTCATACTTTGAAAGTTTTTTTTAGCATAAATGAGGATTGTATTTTGTCAAAGGAGTTTTCTGTACCTATATAACCGTGTGATATTAGATGTTTTGTTTTTATCATGACTTATTATGTTCATTGTTTTCCTAATACATTCTTGCATCCATGGATAAAGCATTGTAGTGTGTATGGCAGAATGTGATTTAATTTTTTAATTGGCATTAATTAACCATATTGGTCTGTTGCTTTATTCTTCCCTCTTTTAGGTGTCAGTACTGTATTTGTCTCATAAAAGGAATTTGGTAGAGTGTTTTCATTCCCAATTTGTAAGAATAATTTGTAAAGTATAGATATTAAATCTTATCTGCTTGATTTTCCTCATTTTATCCACAATGACTAATTCTTAGATTTTTAAAGATCAACTTTTAATTTTGTCAGTTTTAGAATCTGACAATTTATTTGTCTGATTTTCAGGATTTCTTTATTTTGGATTTTTTTTTTATTTGTTGGATTTCTAATTTTTAATTGCATAGTTAATTCATTAGCTCTTTCTTTTTATTTTACTGAAGTATGTTCTGACGGATATAATTTTTCTGAGCTATGTTAACTGAATCACAGAAATTTTAGTATTTTGTCTCACTGTTGTCTCTCTCAGATTCATAAATTGTTTCTTTGGTTTGTTTTTCGGCCTGTTCTTTGGGCAGGATGTTATTATTAAGTCTCTAAGTCTGCGACTTTTGAATGTTCTCTGTGTATTGATTACCATTTTTATTGTGTTATCTGTAAAGGATGTTTAGTATTTGTTTTTTACATCTATAATTTCTGTATTCCTTAGTGTATGGTTTGTTTTTGTAAAGGTTGTGGTGCTGAGAAATGTGTATATTTGTAATGTTCCATTCAGAAAACATCATAGGCCTTTCAGTTCTAAATTCCCCAATGGTTCAATTCTTTATTTCCCTTTTGTTTATCTTTCTGTTAGATTCATCTAACTCTAAGAGAAGAACATTCAAGTCACCTGCTACTATTACATTACTTTCTTAACTAATTTTTCCTTCATTCTAGCATCTGGTGTGTGCATGTTTAGTATTGATAATAGTTCATTATCTGCGAACTGTTCTTTGAGCTTTTGAGAGCAAAGTTGATTCTTTCTTTGCATTTGAATTTGAATTACCTAGCACAGTTCCTGGTGCATAGTAGGCACTTACTCAATGCTTAATGACTGATTATTTAACTATTGATGTAACAGATTTTAATTTTTAATTTTTAGTTTACTTTAATGAAAATTAAAATTAAAGTAAAAATAAAAATAAAAATAAAGAACATGATTGAAGTCCTGCTTTTTTTGGAGCCCCCGATGTCTAGTCAATTTTGTTCTAATTGCTCATTTTGATTCTGCATGTGCCTTTGTTCTTAGATGTGTTTTTTTACACAACTGATTGTGGGGTTGTGTTTAATAGAATGCAGATTGACTCACACACTGTGACCATTGATGTTTAATTCCCCTTCACCCTGCAGTGGAACTGAGTTCCCTTCATGATTTACAGGTCCATTCGGGAGGGCGTGGGCTCACTGTCTCTCTGGTTGGGCTATAAAAGGGGAATAAAGGCCCAGAATGGAGGGTAGACTCCTACCTGCTTGACATCAGTTCTGTCTGCTTTCAGCTCCTGGTTTGGTTTACCTCCAGTATGATCCCACACTCTAGGTGGTCACAGACTCAGAAGAGACATCAGTTACTATTCTGTTTTGAAAGAACGAGAAATGGTATTCTCATGTCCTTCCACTGAGAATTTGTGATCTGGGTTTTGCTACTTTGACCGTGCCCATTACTTCAGTTGCTTGTTTATTTCATTTGTATTTGACTCCCTGTGACCCCTTTTGACGTTTTCTTTGCAAAGGTACTAGAGTGGTTTTCCATTTCCTTATCCAGCTCTGAGGCGAATAGGGTTAAGTGACTGGCCTAGCATCACACAGATAGTAAGTGTGTGAGGCTGGATTTGAACTCTTAAAGATGAATGTTTCTGACTCCAAGCCCACAGCTATCCACTGGGATGCCACCTAACTGTCCATTACACATGTTAATATATAAGCTCTGTGTATGTACAAGCATATGCATGTATATATCCATAGGCATACATATATATGTATCTATATGTCTATGTATACATGTACACACATGCATACATATACATAGGCATGCATGTGTATCCATAGATAGAGATTCTTAACCCAGAGGTTCATGAATTTGGTTTTTAAAAAATATTTTGATAACTATTTCAGTATAATTGGATTCTTTATAATCCTATGTATTATATTTTATGCATTTAAAAACGTTCTAGAAAAGGATCCATAGGCTTCACCGTACTTCCGAAGGAGCCCATGATCCCCCCACAAAAAGTTAACAATGCCTGATAGATAGACAGACACTCACACATATAAACAGGTAACATGTCATATTTATACATATCACGACAGTTGTTATACTTTTCACATGCAGATATCTGTATCCAAGTATATCAGATAAACCATGCTGGTCAAGTGCTATTAAAAAGCCCAAGCATGATTTTGTTTTTAGGTTGAAAGGGACAACACTGAAAATAAAATCACTTTGGGATACTTATTTCTCTCCATTCCCACCTCCTTGGTTCAGGTGATTCTTAGAATAGAGAGTTCCCTCAGTAGAATATTATACAAAATATTGGTGCATTTTAAGTTAAAAGAGTGACTTTCTTAGCATGCAAAGTAATTGGAAGGTTTCCTACTCCTATCATTGGATTTTTTCTTTTGGTTTTATTGATTATACAGTCATCGTAATATTTGTATAAATAGGCAACTTTTAGAAAAAATAGTCTCATGTAGTCAGGAGGTGGATTTGAATCCTGCCTCTGGCATTTACCAGCTGTCTAATCATGGGGAAGTCCCTTCACTGCTCTGAATCTCCATTTCTTTGTGTTTAAAATGGAAATGATAAAATCCGTAATATCCACCTCACAGTAGGACCACACGGGATGTCTGTAAATGTCGCTGTGAATTGCTTTGCTCACTTTAAAGTTCTATAAAATGTCAGCTGCTGCTGCTGCTCTTACTGTTATTCGGACCTCTGTTTCAGGCCCAATTATGTACGACGCTTGGCACTGGGTGTGGCCCGTAGTAGGCACCTAATGCGTGCTGATTGATCCACTGTCACCATTTAGATGGTGTAGACGTCATCACTCTCGGTAGCCTTCTTAACACATGAGTTTGGTTTTAACTTTTCAGATGCTAATGTCAATGAAGAGGATTTTCTTCTGCTGGAGCTGTTGCAGTGGTTTAAAGAGGAGTTTTTTCAGTGGGTGAATCACCTTCCGTGTGCTCAGTGTGGCGGCGAGACGATAAGTAGAGGAGAACTGTCTCCTGATGATGACGAGCGGCGGTGGAGAGCCAGCAGAGTCGAAGAGCACTTCTGTAGCTCCTGCCACGTCAGTCATCGATTCCCCAGGTACGCACGCATCTCGTGACTCAAAGCACCTTGCCGTCTCTAGCTTTAAACATTGTGTGTAAGTTAATTTTCCTTGGTTGGAGTCTGTTTTCCCCATTGACTATAATTACAAAATCAGAGATGTGTTCCATATGAAAACAATATTATCCCTAGAGATACTCGAATCATTTATTTCAGTAATCCTTTTAGAATTAAATGTATAAAGGAAAAACAATAACTTTTTGATAACATGAACAATAATGCTCAAAACCGTTGCGCTTAAAATTATAAAATAAAAACACTAAAGAATGATATTATGAATAGATTTAAACTGGGAATGGGTTCTGGCACTTCTCCCGCCTCACGTGTATTTCCTTTAAAGACGTCGGTTCGCAGCGTTCATTTAGCTACTTTCTCGCCAAACTGATTTGTTATTGCTAAATTTACATCTAAGGACATTTATTTGGTCTGCCTTTTTTTCCTTTGCTTTCTTCACACTAATTGCTTTTTTTTCCCCAGACGTGTTTGCCTAGTAATACTTACAGAATTTGTTATGGTATTCTTTAGGACAAGCTGCCTCCCCTCCCTAGTTAATGTTTGAAATTCCCAAGGTTTTAGCATTAGTCATGCAGTGTCGATTGAGACCTGGAGTTGTGTGACAACCATCTCTTGTTCAGTAATCAGCGCAGGTGAGTAGGCAGTGCCCCTGTGGGCTGCTCAATGCCCAGCCCGGGAGCTCGTTACTGTGGCAGACGCCTAGGGACTGGTGAGCGCCTCAGCAGCAGTGACAAAAGGCTTGTCAGTGTCAGCCAGTGGCCAGAGGCTCGCCATCATCTGGGTTAGAGGATCCAGGCATTTTACTTGACAGAAGCAATATGGACAAGATGGTGTCATGGGACCCCCCACACCTGGAGTTCCTGTAGTGAATTTTGACTTGACAGAATTCATAATGTAAGGGGTTCATTTTTAAGGCATTTTTTCTTAAGGCCACGAGGTTATAAGCTTTTGAAGAGCTGGCTGTGACTTTGACGTTGAGACTGTGACTTGCACTACCAGCCAGCTAAGATTATTATCATTGTTATTGTTAGAAACAGGTTGTCAATTTGGAAACTCTTTGAATGCTAAATAGGTTTTATTGATGAAGTTAGATTGCTCTTACAATGACACAGTCTTGTTCATCCCCTTCCCTGAGCAGAGAGAGCGTTGTGTCAGGTGCTGTTAGACCCAAAAGAGCCCTTGCCTGAAAGGGGCTTGGTCTCAGAAGGAGGAGAGGGGATGCAGGAAAATGCATCGTTCCGATACGGCCAGCACATCCATTACAAAATAAGGCATCTTGTTGTGGAAAGGTCATCACCAATGGACAAGGGCATGGGTGGGTTGTGGAGGAGGTGGTATTTAAGTGGGAGGAGTGCACAGAAGGTGTGAGGACGCCAGGTGTGTTCAAGGGAGACAGCATTACCCTGTTTGGCTTGACTGTTGAGTATGTGGAAATATTAGAAAAATCTGGAAAGAGAGTGTGGAACCATGTTGTGGAGGACCTTGACTGCTGGGCTGAGCAGTTTGAACTTTACCTGGAGAGTAATAAGAAATCCTGTGAGCAAGAGAGCAAGCGTGATAATCAGATTTATTACTTGGTGAAGTAAAAGATGAATGAACGGGAACTGTTCCAGTTGGTAATAATAGTTGTTGATATTTTTTTAAGAATAATTGATCCTGGAATGGCAGCATTTTAAATGAACACATTGGTTCCTTGTTGGGCACATGAAAACTTAAAACTTGGGAAGGATACACACACACACACAGACACACACACACACGTATATGTATACCTGTATGTATGTGTGTATACATGTATAAAAGATATAGAATTAAATAAATAATAAATTGATTAATAAATAATCAAATAAAATAATATTCTAAGCAGTTCAGGAAGCACATCTTGAAAGACAAAAGAACTTGATTACCAAAAATACTTCATTCAGTAACTTGTGAGTAAGCAGCTCGCTTTTCATCTATGGGAGGGTTCAATTTCTCATTCATTAAAAAGAGCCACAGGCAGGCTGCCCCCCCCCCCCCCCCCCCAGGGAGGAGCAGTGCTGACCCCAGGAGATGCGCATCTCCTGGGATTCCTCCTCTCTTTAAGTTTTCCTTATTATTATGAACTTGACAAGATATCAACAAATAGTGTACAACAACAAGTATACAAATTCTGTATCAGAATCTCCACTATGAACAGCTGTATATGTCAGATTTGACATGGTTGTTCCAAAGCTGTCCTACTTGTTTGTTACGATTCTTTTTTAATAATTTGTTTTTTTTAATATTTCCCAATTACATGTAAAAACATTTCTAACAATCATTTTAAAAATTTCTGTGTTCCAAATTCTCTCCTTCCCTTCTGCCCTTCTCCCCTACTTTTGATATCTATTACAGGCAATTTGATATCTGTTAGAGACAGTTCTCACTTTAATTAAGTGAACCCATAGTATAGTGATATACATAAAGTGAATTTGCCTGTGGACAGAGCGAAGGGAGGGTGGAGGGAAGTTGGGAGGGGGGCACACACTCATGGAGGGAGGGGGCTGGCATGTGGTTCAAGGACATGTGGGAGCTAGAGACAGAGAAGCAAGAACAGGAGGAACACTGGGGCAGGAGGGTCTGGGGCCGGACACGGACACGGACACATGTAGGGGGCTGGGGAGAGACATTCAGTACCCGAGGGGGGTGAACAGCAGACAGACACACAGGCGGGTGGGCAGAGTGGGGCACAGGTCTCAAGCCAAGCCCCCAGACCAGCAACAGTGGCTCTCTCTCCTCTCGTCTTTTCTTGTGCTTTCACTAGGAGGGGGTTTTTTTTTGGTTGTTTTCTTGTTTTTTGTTTTGGTGGGAGGGTAGGAGACCAAGGAGCAGAGGGGCAAGAGTGGAGAGAACACAGTAATATAAGTTAAACTTCATCGGTGCTTTTTTGGAATGCAGATTTCTTTCAGAGTTCTTTATGTAAGGTTGAATTTGTGTAATGCAAATTGATGAAAAGCTAGAACTATATACGTGTGAAGTCATACAAAACACATTTCCATATTAGCCAGGTGGCAAAAGAAAACACAAACCAAAGAAAACAATAAAAATAAAGTTTAAAAATATGCTTCAATTTGCATTCAGAGTTTGACGGTTCTCTAGAGGTGATTAGCAATTTTTGTCATGAGTCCTTTGGAATTGTCTTAGATTATTGTCTTGATCAGAGTAGCTAAGTCTTTCACAGTTGATCATCCTTACAATATTGCTGTTACTATGTACAATGTTCTCCTAATTCTGTTCACTTCACTTTACATCAGTTCATAGAAGTCTTCCCAGGTTTTTCTGAAACCATCCTGTTTGTCATTTCTTATAGCAGAATAGTATTCCATCACAATCATAGACCAGTTTGTTCAACCATTCTCCAGTTAGTGGGCATCCCCTCAATTTCTGATTCTTTTCCAGCACAAAAATCTGCTATAAATATTTTTGTATATATAGGTCCTTTTCCCTTTTCTTTGATCTCTTTGAGATACAGACCTAGTAGTGATATTGCTGGGTCAAAGAGTACGCACAATTTTGTAGTCCTTTGGGCATAATTCCAAATCATCCTCAAGAATGGTTGGACTAGTTCACATCCAATGCATTACTGTCCCAGTTTTTCCACATCCCCTCTAGCATTTGTCATTTTTCTTTTCTATTATGTTAGCTAATCTGATAGGTGTGAGGTGATATCTCAGAGTTGTTTTAATTTGCATTTCTCTCATCAGTAGTGATGTAGAGCATTTTTTTCAAGTGACTGTTAATCATTTTGATTTCTTATTTTGAAAACTGCCTATTCATAACCTTTTGATCATTTATCAACCGGTAAACAGCTCTTATTTTTATAAATTTGTCTCTGTTTCCTATTGTGACGTTTAAAAAGTTTGATATAGTTTCTGAGTAATTTAATCATTTATTAAAGATACCATCATGTATATTATAAAAGGATGGCTGTCTCTCTTAGACCAAAGAAAGACCCCTCATGGTGGTAGACTCACAGTTTATATGCCCATGGAAGAGTATGTGTTCCTTAGGGTGGAAATCAACTCTGATTGGTTAACAATTGGTGAGGAAATGGATGGTGAGAGGCTAAACTATAATTACAATGAGGGTCTTTGGGTATGTGACTTGGGTCACTCAAGTCTTGGTCAAAGAGACTTAACAATTTCGACATCATTTGTCTAATAAAAGAGAGAATCAGCATTCAGCATTTTCCCAGACCTGAGCCAAGAATATATCCATTAGCTTAAATTTAGAATTTCTCTTACTGTCTTTGATTAGATCTCAGTCATCCTAGCTGGATAAGTCTTTGAGAGATTTCCCACATTGGATTTCTGTTTGAGGAAGTAGAAAATGGGAAAAACCTTAGTCCTAATACAATTAGTTATTAATACAAAAGAGAAATAATCATTTCTCTCACTTTATATTTGAGAAATGAGGCCTTTATCAGAGAAACTTGCTGTAAAAATTTTTTCCCCAGTTTCCTATTTTCCTTCTTATTTTTGCTATATTAGTTTTGTTTCTACAGAAGCCTTTTAATTTCATGTAATCAAAATTATCTATTTAATTTCCCGTAAACTTATCTTATCTCTTATCTCGTGTGGTCGTAAGCTTTTTCCTTATTAGTCAATCTGACAGGTGAATTTTTAAAATTTTATTTATTTTTAGTTTTCAACATTCACTTCCTTAAGATTTTGAGTTCCAAATTTTCTCCCCACCTCTCTCCTCTCCCCACTCCAAGATGGCATGCAATCTGATATAGGCTGTACATATACATTCATATTGACCCTATTTTCACATTAGTCATGTTATAAAGAAGAATTAGAACCAATGAGAGAAATCAAGAGAAAGAAGAAACAAACAAAAAAAAGAGACATCAAAAAATGTGCTTCCATCTACGTTCAGACTCCGTAGTTCTTTTTCTGGATGTAGACAGCATTTTCCATCATGAGTCCTTTGGAGTTGACAGGTACATTTTCCCCTAATTTACTTGTGATATCACCCTTTATCACCCTTTTTTTTTTTGTAATTTTTAAAACTTTAAACTTAAATACAAAATAAGAAAAGGAAAAAAAAATATTGCCATGTGCACAGTAGAACATAAGAGAGGATTCAAAACATAAAGCAATAAATTTCCATTTCAAGGAAGCCTGTATAATAAATGCTATGCATTGTGTTTGGAGCTGTCCATTGTTTCTTCCTTGTAGGTTTTATTTTGTTCTCTGCTGTACATTTTTTACTTTGTTCTTTTTCCCCCCTTTCTCCCCATCCCAAGAAGGCTACAATTAAGTGTGGAAATATATACGTGACTTTGTCTGCCTGTCTGCCTGTCTATCTATCTATTTAGATATATCTCCTATTATTTATCTAGATATATCCAGATAGATAGATAGATAGATAGATAGATAGGTAGATAGATAGATAGATAGATAGATAGATAGATAGATAACACCCTTCTAGAGCATAATTTTTAAGTTTTGTGGAGGGAAATGTTGAGAGAGCTCACCTGAGTGCTTTCTCTGCCATCTTGGCTTTGCACCGTCTGTTCTGATTCTGAGCTTTTTATTTTTTTTTGTTCTCTTCTGTATATTCTATTTCATTGATACCCCTTTCTTTCTTTCTTTCTTTCTTTCTTTCTTTCTTTCTTTCTTTCTTTTTTCTTTTAGCATTACCATCCTTCCTCCCCCCTAAAAAATATTTTTGAAGCCCTCTCTTGTGCCAAATAAGCATAATCCAGCAAATAAACATCGTGGCCACGTCTGAAAGGGCACGTCTTGTTTTGCACCTTTAGTCTATTAACGGTCTGCCGCGTGATAGGAAGATCGCTTCCTCAGTCTTCTGAAGCCAGTTGGTCATTGCAGTGACCGGAGCTCTTCAGCCCTCCAGTGTTGCTTCCCTTTGTCGTCATTGTATCCATTGTTCTCCCGGTTCTGCTTTGGTCACCCTACTGTTGCTGTTCAGTCATTTCAGTCACGTCGGATTCTTTGTGACCCTTTTGAGGTTTTCTTGGCAAAGACACTGGAGCGGTTTGCCTTTTCCTTCTCTAGCTCGTTTGATTGGTGAGGAAGCTGAGGCAAGCAGGGTTTAGTGACTCATCAGGGGCCACACTAGCTAGTAAGTGTCTGAGGCCATATTTGTGCTGTACCCATTGTGCCACCTAGCTGCCCTGGGTCATTCCACAGTCCTTCGTGTACGTCGTTGTAGCGTTCTCTGAATCCCTTTTGTCATTTCTAATGGTTCAGCAATATTCCATTATGTATATACCACAATTTGATCGGCCACTCGCTAGTCTGCGGGCAACCCCTTGGCTTCTAGTACTTTCTTCCAACAAAGAGTACTGCTGTAAATATTTTTGTACATGAGGCTTCTCCCTTTCTTTATCTCTTTAGGGTATAGGCATAATAGTGGTCTCGCTGGATCAAGTCCTAATAGCATGATTTTGCTGTGCATCCTTAAAGAGTTTAATATATTTCTACACCAGAGTCTTGGGGGAGGTTGGGGTGTGTATGTGTGTATGACAAAGTGTCTACTCAGTTCTATTCTTTTTGTCAAGAATGTTTGAAAGTCTTCTATTAAAGGGCTATTTTTCCCATGTAGAAAGGTTTTTTTTTTTTTTGGCTAGGCAGTGGGGCTAAGTGACTTGCCCAGGGTCACACAGCTAGTAAGTATTATGGGTCTGAGGCCGGATTTGAACTCAGGTCCTCCTGACACCAAGGCCGGAGCTCTATCTACTGCACCACCTAGCTGCCCCTAGAAAGGCTTTTTTTAAAGCTTTATTGATCTGTTTTGTTTTTTATATTATAGACATTTCCAAATTACTCCTACTCCTAGATTTTCTGCTAAAGTTTTGTTTGTTTGTCTTTTCAGGTATAATGATCCTGAGAAACTCTTGGAAACCAGATGTGGGCGATGTGGAGAATGGGCAAACTGCTTCACTCTGTGCTGCAGAGCCATGGGGTTTGAGGCACGCTACATCTGGGATGCTACTGGTAACCGTGTCCTCTGGAGACTCTTCTGTCTGATCTAACCAGCCTTTAATGTTTTCTCATGAATGGTTTGAGGTCTGTGACGCTGCATGTAAATAATGAAACAAAATTTACTTGGTTCAGAATGCCTTATTCTCTATCCACCGAGGGAAGGTTTGTGGATTTTGTTTGCTTTTTTGAATCAGGTGTACTCTTCACTCTCCTCATTTAAAAAGTAAAATATAAGACGATCCCTTCCACTAAAAGAGAATGACAGTAAAGAAGCCAATTAGCGTCAGGAAGGATAGGATCGTAGAGGCAGGCTCACCTCCATAATAACTCTGGCTTCTCCTAGAACATTACAGCTATAGCCGAGGAATTTCAGATAAGAAGAAATACTAATAACTTCGTTGTACTTTAACATTTAGCAAAAAGAGTGTTTTCAAAAGAAATGTATGCTGACTAAAAATGGTTCATTTTGGGACTGTCTTTCTTGCTTGTATCTGTATCTCCCATACTTAGCACAGTCTGTCTTATCTATCCATCCATCTACCTACCTGTCTCTCTGTGTTGCAGCATAGTGACGTTTTTATCCATCTTAAATTTGACCATATGGTTAATGAGTTGTAACTACAAAGAACATAGGCCTGTTTTCAAAGATTCCAGTGACACAGGGGAAGACATTAAGGAACAAGTTTTCCTTAACACATTTCACGCAAAATCCTGTCTCTCATAAGTGAATTATGTGTGTGTATAATACACAGGTATTACATTATACATAACATGTATATACACACGTGTGTATGTACCTATGCCTACAAGTCTATATATAATGTGTTTGTATAAGGATAGAGAGAGAGAGATATTTCCAAATGGCTACAGATTTTTGTCTCCTCGGTTGTTTTTGTAGACCATGTTTGGACAGAAGTATATTCTCAATCTCAGCAGCGATGGCTGCACTGTGATGCTTGTGAAAATGTCTATGATAAACCCCTCCTTTATGAAGTAGGATGGGGGAAGAAGCTGTCCTACATCCTAGCATTCTCCAAGGATGAGGTAGGGGAAATAATGTTTTTTCCTACTTAAGACATATAATAATTAAGGTATTTTAATTACTTCACAAATTAAGCAATTTACTAAATCAACTTTCCAGATAAAATAGAAATTTTTTTTGTGCCAAGTTCTGAAAATTTGTTTCATTTCCTGCACTCTCAAAAATAGGCTGGTTATATTTTGAAAATTAATATCTTTGCGCTATTTTTCAACATTTAATGAGAATAATCTTGAAAAGCTTGCTAAATATTAGCTTGTTGTTTACTCTGCTTATTCAAAAACTATGTATTGATTGTAATGAGCGTGATAAATGTAAGCATCCTCTCTTTTATTTGAGATTGTTGATGTCACTTGGAGATATTCCTGTAAACATGAAGAAGTGGTCTCTAGGAGAACTCAGATTAAAGAAGAATTACTTAGAGAAACAATTAATGGCCTTAATAAGCAGGTATGTGATTGCCTACCATTTCTATGAAGATAAATCTGTAAAGACATTTGAATTGAGAATAAAAAGTCATTTTCTTTTGTAAAGTGGAAGGGTTGCTTTGCAAGAAAATGTGTGTTTTTCTGCTTGTACTTTTCACTTTTCCACATGGTGGAAAATTGAATCCTTTTGAACATGACCTTTTGTGCTTCCTTTGTTTTGGCCCTCGTAGTGAAAAAGAATAACATTCGAATTGCTTCATTGAAGTGTTACTATCGTACCTCATTGAGGGGTCCTCAAAGGGTGTGACTGTAAGCTGGACAGGCTTCGCCCCCAGCCAGGTGAGGGGCCATTGCTTGCGAATCGGCCTGAGTGGTAGGAGGTTCATCGTGCGGTTGGCCACAGGGTGAGGAACATTTCGGCCACAGCAGCTCTTAATGAACAGTGATCTTTGTCGAGAGAGGAACAGCTGTGTTGATAAAATCACAGGTGCTTTATTCTTTAAAGTTGGAAGCCTAATTCAGATGCTGTATATTGGGGTCTTGTATAATGTGAACTATTATAAAATGCAGCTCATCCGAGCACGCTGCAGCACAGTTTTCGGTATCGAGGGGCTCCTTACGATGGGTTGCTTGTGGTCCTTTGTTCTCGAAGAGGACCAGAATGACATCACCCTGTTGGGGTCAAGGTACAATGTGTCTAACAGTGGCTGATCAGACGAATGCAAACTCAGAAGGCTCTGCGAAATGGGTTGGGCACAAATAGTCCACGTGAACATTTGGAGTGGAGATGCCTCTAAATTTTCACATCTCGCGTTTCTTTTGAGCGGCTGCGCTTCTGCTTTGCTCATAGAGCAAAGCGCTTTCTTGGATGCGGGCATGCTGTGCTGGGTGGTCCCATGTCTCACAGTGGATTCCAGAGTTCTTCAGAGAGACCTTGAGAATGTCCTTGTTTCGCTTCTTCTGAGCTCTGTGTGAGCGCCTGCCCTGTGTGAGTTCTCCATAAAATAGACTTGGAGGCAAACGTATGGTTAGCATTCAAACAACGTGGCCAGCCTACTGGGGTTGCACTCTCTACAGTAGCATTTGAGTGCTTGGCATTTCAACTTGAGGAAGGATCTCAGTGTCTGGTACCTTATCTTGCCAGGCGAAGATCTTCAGGATCTTCCTGAGAATTCCAATGGAAGCGATTCAGTTTCCAGGCATTTCCTGGTAGACTGCCTAGGTTGTACAACAATGAGGTCAGCACAGCAGCTCTGCAGGCCTTCAGTCTGGTAGGCTCCTTAGAATTAACCTTTTAAACAAATGAAGAAAAGGGAGCAAAAATGGAGAGATTCTGAATATTGGTTATTAAACTTAGTTTTCCCTAACCCCTGTCTGTGGTATTCTGGTCTTCACCTTATGAATGGCATGAGGGATTTGTAAGGTAGGAGATACTAGCAACAAAGGGGATCCAGAAGCATGCCACGTATTATGGGATAGTATTTTCTCATTGGCATTTATTTGGCAGTGTTTGTCACTGCTGACATTATCAACAAGTAGATTGCCATTGACTTTTCACAACTCTCTGAAGTAGGTATTACTTGACAAGTATTGTTATCCCCATTTTACAGCTGGGCAAACTGATGCTCAAGCTAAATGCCTTACTCAGAGCTACATAACTAAGAACTGCTAGTGACAACATTGACATCCATGTCTGTAGACTCTTTGCAGGGCACCGTGCCACCTCTCCATGGCATCACACCAGAACTGTGCTGTACTTGCAGGCCCTGAAGAAATAGGTGTTGACTTGCATTTCAGCTTCCTCCGTGAAGATGAGGGAAGAAATAGAGATATGATCCCTGACTGCCAGGGTCTTAGAAGGAGGCAAGGCTAGCTCACGAATCAATGACGTAGCAGTGTAAGACCACGTGTTAGGAAGAGCTGAACTTGAGAAGGAGGAGAGGAGTGTGGAAATAGGCAAGTCGATATGGAATAGAAGTGTGTTAAGGGGCAGTCCCAGAGCATGTCTACAGACTTTATAAGCCATTTCTATATTCTGTCATTAAAAATGACTGACACCCTTTGCCTATTTTCAGAATGCTCATTTGGAGTCACATCAGTTTTGTGTGTTTTTGGATCTAAGACTCCTGAAGGATATTTCAAATTTGGTCTCTCACACACTGTAAGATGTGGCCGATGTATCTGGCGTGCCCTCACTGAAGGCCTGCCCTGATGCCTTGTGGCACTGAGATGATGGCGGGCCGTCGAAGGCTATGCCCGTGGGACTGTAGGCTCAGGCAGGAAAGGAAGAATATAGACCTGTTGCCAGAAGCCCATGCCTGCCATCTGCTGCTGGCTAAGCACAGAGAAGCCCACCCCGAGTTTGGCTGCGAGGCTATGAAGTTTGGAGCCACAACTCAAAGACCATTGGTGCTCAGCATCTGGTCATGCTCGTGAAGTCATGAATGTTCGTCAAATACTGAAGTGAATGGGTAGTAAGTAGCTCTGAATTCTCTGTTCTCTGTGAGAATTTTCTATCATCTTTTGCCTGTCTGAAGTTCATCTTATTTCAGGCATGGTTTCCATTTTGAACATCACTAAACAGTCTCATGGGATTTTATTCAGAGCATTAATTGAGCTGCTATTGGGGGGAAATAGCCCTTTTCAAATTGTTCTCCCGATTCATCAGTAGTTCTGAGAAGTCATTTCATGTGCCCTTCCAATCTTTCATACAACCGGAGAAAGGGAAATTTAATGTAGCTCCCTTCTTTTCCAAAAGAAGACACTCTGGTAGGTAATGACAGAGTGTGTGTGTGTGTGTGTGTGTGTGTGTGTGTGTGTGTGTGTGTGTGATTTAGAGCCTTTACCCATCTTATCTTCTGTATAAATCTCACTTTTTCACTTTACAAAATTTTTCTGCATTTTTATCACCAAATAGACCAGCCACATCTTGCAATGTGTAATAGAACACATTTGCAATATCCTTCAGGAGTCCTAGCTGCAGAAGCAAGAAATTGATGGATCTAAGAAGTATGCATTTGGAAATTAGGCAAACGGTGTCAGTCATGTTTTATTTATAGAGCATAGAAATGACTTCAGTGTGTGTTCAAAAATAGATTTGCAAAAGAAAATCAGAAAGTAGGATTTCAGTAAAGTAGTGAATTAAAATGTAAGAGCAGTATTTGGTTGAAGAAGTAAGTTCAAAATGCTTTCTTTGAGTAAATATAGGCTAATGACCGACGCAGTTAATTTAAGTGAACAGAGTAGAACAAAGTAGAATGTAGAGTGATCTCAGGGTTAGACTCGTTATAATTTGAAATTGCTTAGCATTATTATAGTCCAGCTTCCTTATGTTGCAGATGAGGAAAATGAGAGATTAAATGACTCCTAGGGTGTTGAGATTCATTTTAACTGAGTTACAGGGCATTTGATTTTGCTTTTTTAAAAAAAAATAATAAATCTTGAAATTGAAGCAGATGTTTCTGCTGTCATTTTTTCCTTATCCTCTCCAGCTTCTTGGTCCTGAAGTTATTTCAGATTTTAATAATTTGTTTTTTTGTCTCAGTGAGACAAAGCTCTCTTAACACTCCAGGTTGCAGAGAAAGTACCATCCTGCATCGGTTGAGGGACCTTCCTCTTCTGGGAAATTACGGCTCTGTCCCTGTCCCTCATCTCACTTAGATTCTGGCTTCACATAGGTCTCAATGGGAAGGAATTGTCAGTTTTTTTGGTTTTGTTTTCTTTTCCCACAGAGGCAGCTCTCTTTATCGGAGAGCCGAAGAAGGGAGCTCCTGCACAGGATAATCGTGGAGCTGGTGGAGTTCATCTCTCCCAAAACTCCTAAGCCGGGAGAGCTGAGTGGCCGCATCTCGGGGTCTGTAGCTTGGAGAGTAGCCAGAGGCGAAATGGGTTCAGAGGTATTGAATTCATTCATGGGGAGGAGTTTCTCTTTCTCTTCCCTCCGCCCCCAACATGAGCCAACCCTAGGGAGTACTTCTTGGTCTTAGAATAATGGCTTTGACATTTTCCCCTATCAATTCACATTAGAAAGTAATGGTTTAAAAGAACATAAAAATGGTTTAAAAGAACATAAAAATTTGGAGGGAATTAGTAGTTAATTGCTTTGGAGGAGGAATAAAGAAAAATAATACTTGGCAATAGTTATACTACAGAAATTCTGAGAATTCCTAAAAATAAGGGTTTGAAACTAGCATCCTTGTTTAAAAGATTTCTGATATTGTGATTATAATGTGCTTATTTGTGTCTCTCCTTTGTTCATATTCAGGTTGCTTAGGTTATCATTATAGAGAACTCATTAAGTTGTAGTTAGTTGGGAAGATAGAAGGAAATAGAATTCTGTTATGCTTCCCTTTTCCCTGAATTGTTCTTCTTTAAACACCTGATTTTATAGTCATTCATATACATTGAAAACTATGTATTCCGGTTGCTAAGGAGAGAAACTTATTTTATTGATAAATATTCCATTTAAACCCATCTTGTACTTCCTCAGATTCCACAAATACAAGCCCCGTCATAGTGTGCTTTTGGAAGGAAGAGAACACTCAGATAACAGAGTGATGTGTTGATAACATACAAGATATTTTATAATGGGATTGTAATATCCTTGACTTTTGCTTCTTTTTATAAACTATATGAGAATTTTGTGAGATAAAATGGGAGAAGCTAATTTGTTGATGAGAGTGAATCTCTCCTAATGATTTCAAGCCTATTGCTTTGATTAGAAAATATTTCTAATGGTGAAATTGTTGGTGTATCACTGAAGTTATTATTTTTGAGCTGTTCTTTGGTTAATATTCCTGATGCTAGGTAATTTTTACTATGTAAATAATGTATTTGTCCAATTCAGGAAACATTGTGGTTTAAGTCAAATTACCAAATATTTGAGTAGTTGCTGTATTCAAGGTACCTTGCTAGCTATGGCTAAAGATAGGAAAATATGTAAGATATGGCCTCTGACTTCAGAGAATTTGTGATCTAGTTTATAGAAAGCAGGGGTGGGGTGGGGAGAGGTAGGTCTACAAAAAAAATGAAAATATACACTTTTAAAAGCTATAATGTTATTTTCCCCATCAATGTCAATCTATTCCCCTGATTTTTCAAAATCTGTCATTACTGATTGTCTACAACATGACTGAAGGGGGTAGGTCATTTTAATTACGTTTTGCACAGTTTTTGCTGTAATAGAAATGACTCCATTTTCAGCTCAGTCTTAGAATTAGAGGACAAAATTCAACCAGTGACTCAAATCATTAATTGCTATACAAGTTATAATCTGAACAAACTTAATTTAATGTGTGTCTTATGTTTTGTTAAAAGTATGGAAATTATTTGGTTGACCATATCTTTTCTTGCTGAAGTCCTTATTCTTCTAATCATGGTATTACTCATAGTTGATTAAAGTAGGTTAAGTTATCTACCATTATTAGTCTTTATTTCCAGTGAAGTCAACAAAAAGAAAGCAAGCCTTGTGATCAACATGAGAAAAGAGGAAACCTTGGTCATATATAACAGGAGCTAACAAAATTTCTAGAAAGTCAATATTTTAATTGCTTTAATGTCTAGAATAAAAACATAGTTGTCACTCCACATTGCCCCGTTCATTGGGATAGGATAGGATGGGAATCAGAGTTGGGATTTCATTAGTCTAGGGAACTCTTGGGTGAAGATGTTCCCTCTTAATAAATGGATGCTTAATGTGAACTTCAATAAAGCTATTTAAGCTTTAATAACCTACACTGAGACTTTTAGAACACCTTGGATTGTTCTATTAATAAGACAATATTTTTAAGAAGTCTGCCATTTAGAGGCCTTATTATGTGCATGCCCAGACCTCTCTATCCACTTCTGATATATTTGGGAAAAAATAATTCTGCTTTCTTTTGTTAAGAGAAAAGAAACTGTGTTCATACCGTCTGAAGATGAGAAAATGGCTAAACTTTTCCACCTCACTTATAATCCAGTGGATGATTGTTATGTCCGAGTTTCAAGTAGTAATGAAAAAATTTCCGGATGGGAAAATGGTGTTTGGAAAATGGAATCTGTATTCAGAAAAGTTGAAGCGGACTGGAAAATGGTAATTGTATACATGGTACAGCCTGTCTTGAGGACTCTCATTTTTATTCTCTATAACTGGTTGCTTATGTGTCATTATTTTAGTGAATCTGTGATTGTATTGATGAAGGAACACCGCTACTCCTGTAGACACTTCAGAGGTTCCTTCCGCCCACGTGGAAGCTTGGGTCTTTCCACATTTCCTGGGTCCCAGGGTGGGCGGCACTCAGGCTGTGCATCTGTTACTCTTCATTTGCCATGTGACTGGCCAACCCCCCTTTTCAGCCTCACCTTTCCCAAGTGGTCTCCCTGACCCTCTTTAGGTGTCTGTCATCGTTGGTCTCGGCTAATACCCACCCCACATCTCTCTGTTGTCATTGGGTTACCCCCAGTTTTGGTTCTTTTTATTCTGGATTAACTCTTTAAATAAAACTAAGACATCTTGGCCTCACTTTACGTTTTTTAGGCTCCTCCATGCAAAATGAAAATATATGTATTTGTATATATATATATTTCCCCACCAATGTTATTTTAAAGGCACTTTTCCAATAGGGTAGAAATATCTCTGCAACCAGTTATCACTTCTAACTGCTTATAATCATTTCCAGAACTATTCCAGGGTCCCTGGCCCCCCCACCCACATATACACTTCTAAACTCCAGTTTCCCCCATTACTCCCTGGACCAAACGTGTCCTTTACAACCAGGGCCCTTCTGACCTGTGAGTCTTCTCTGCACACAGTGCTCCATCTCTCAAGTCTGCTTTTTCAGTGGCGGCCCCCGTACCTGGAATGCTCTTCCTCCTCACCTCCCATGCCTAGATTCCCTTGGATTCCTTTGCCCCTAGGCTCATCCCCTATTCGATAAGAGGCCTTTCCTAATCAGTCAGTGATTAAGTGTTTCTGTGATCACCCACCATTTACACTGGACGTGTCTTCTACGTACAGTTTTTTTTCACGTGATCTCCCTCATTAGACTTCAGGGGCAAAGCATCCTATTTTTCCTTTCTTTATATTCTCAGCACTTAGCACAGCACCTGACACACAGTAAATGCTTAATAAATGCTTATTGACCTGACCGAATAAATGATGTCAGTGCATGTGATCTTTGTACTTTCTAGATGAAGTAAACTTCTCGATGTAAAAACGCATCCCAGCACTTGTTTGAATTCCTCCGGTGAAGGATGTTGCTAGGTGCTGTGGGAGGTACAGAGAAGACTAAAATGGTGTCCTCCACCTAAGGAGCTTCTTACACAGGAGACTGCCGGGGTCTTGGCAGGGCTTATTGGCTTCCTTGGGTGTCACTGACTTAACTGTGTGGTTACGTTGGTGAAAATGTAAGCACCTTGGATTTCTGTTAAGCAGAATTCATCAGCTGCAAAGCAGTACCGTGGAAATTCTTCACCAGCACTTTACCAGCTCAATTATCAAATGAATGGATGAAAAAAAATTATTGGGCTCTTATTTGCTTGTCAAGTAGAATTATCCCTGGAATTCTGTAGGAGCTCACCATCCATCTGCATTAGATGTTAGATGTCCAGATGGTATCCCCCAGACTCAGTTCAGAAGGAATGTCTTTCTACTAACAATCTGCTTTGAAGTACAACTTCTCCGTCTAGAGAATGAGTTCCTTCGTCACCTGGGCATTGCATTGTTATCACCCTGCCAAGGAGGCCCTTCCTTTCTTTTCCTCCCATTAACACAGTTACTTTATGCTTACTTTATTCATGTTTGTGTTTATGAGTGTACATTTTGTTTCCACCCCAATAGAAGTTGAGCTCCTTGGGAGGAGAGACTTTCATTTCTGTTTTTATATTCCCCAGTATCTAATACAGTGCCTGGCACATCATAGGTGCTTAATAAAAGCTTTCTGATTGATTGATTGATTATAGGTTAGAGTACTATATGGTAAGTTTAAATGGAGTGAATACTGATGGGTTAGGTAGAAAACTTCCTTTAAGAACTTAGTGAAAAACAACAGTAACAATTTCAAAGGATAATTTGGCATAACTCAGCTGCTGGGAAACCCCAGCAGCTGATAGACCCATCTAGCCTGTGACAATCAGAAAAGTATGTCATCCTCCCCCTTGCTTGGTGCCCCCAACCAAACCACAGGTGTGTGAAGAGGCTGAGCTGTGTGCAAAGTAGAGCCATGCGTGGCAAGAAGTGATTATAATGATAAACTAAGGAACAGTCTGTTATGTGAATGCAGTCTGAAAAGTGGCTCTGGCTTCTTATGGTGGTATGCAAATTAGCCTGCACCAAGTAAAATAATTAAGTTAATTGACTTATACAATCAACCTGACAACTTTTTACATCTTAGTATGCAGTCCATCTTCCTTTTGCAGTAAGTATGTTTCACTTGATTTTGCATTGTTTACAAGATTTTGACACGTTCTTTAATTAGTCATCATGAAACCACACTTAGCGCATTCAATACTAAGTGTACCTTTTATGAGTAGCCCATTTTTTTCCCAACCTAACCTTGATCATTGCTAATAGATGTTCAGTGGGCTTTAAATCATGTGAGTGCTCAGACCATTGACACACGTTGATCTCCATCTCTTGGATAAATTTCTTAACCTTTCATGATGTGATATGGTACAAGACTATGTTGCAGTATTATATTTTCATTTAGGAATTTCTATAATTCTAGAATTTTACTTCTAAATTATATCAGTATATTTATCAGAGTTTATCATTCCTTCAATGGGGACAAGACCTCCGTGCCAACTGGAAGTAAAACAAGTCCTCAAGAAAGTCTGATGGTCTCATAGGCTCACACTTATACTTCTGACAAGAGTTTGGGTATAGCCTTTCATATAGCAAATGAAATAGTTTTTCTTTATAGCAATGGTTGTCAGCTGTATTTTTATTTTTAACTGGTCATCTTTCTGTTCTTCCAACTTCAAGAACCAACAATCCCTTGTTCAGTCATAACCCCTCCAGTTGCCGGGTGCCTCTGAAGGTCTTTGATTGTTCTTTGAAGATGAATTAGATGATTTTTCAGTTTGCCAGTCCTTGGTGTGTTTGTTTTTCATCATGTTTTCCTTCGTGCTTTGATGTGACTGATCATGTTTTCATTGTGTCTTAAATATCTTGAATTATTTGACTTCTCTAAACCAACAGTCCCTGCAGTATCTCTAATAGTTGTTGATGTGTGCGTTTTAAGAGCCTTTGCCTATTTCCTTAGTTAATATCCATTCTTAAAAAACACAGAATTTAGGGGCAACTAGGTGGTGCAGCAGATAGACCATCGGCCCTGAAGTCAGGAGGACCTGAGTTCAAGTCTGGCCTTTGCCCAAACACTTGACACTTACTAGCTGTGACCCTGGGCAAGTCAGTTAACCCCAATTCCCAAATTCCCAATTCCCCCCCAAAAAAACCCCACAGAATTTAAAACACAACAAAACAGCAACAAAATGTGTGTATGCCAGGAAATCCAGCAACTAACAGAACCCTATTGTAGTGCCTAGTACAGGGATAGAGGATTCAAAGCCACATGCGGCCTTCTAGGTCCTTGGTTGTGGCCATTTGACTAAGTCCAAGTTTTACAGAACAAATCCTTATATTAAGGGGATTTGTTCTATGAAGTTTGGATTCAGAGGACCTAAAGGGCCACACGTGGCCTTGAGGCCTCAGGTTCCCCACCTTTGGCCTTGCACATGATAGGTGCTTAATAAATGTTTAATGATTATGAAGTAACTTAAGATGGGAAAACCTGTTTAATCTCATAGCTAAGGCCTAATATTCTCAGTCTGCCTAGTGTCAGCGGAAGCACACGCAAGACCGTTGTCCCAAATAATTCATACACCACTATTGCTCTCTTCAGCTCCTCCTGTATGTATACTGATGGATTGGTAGTGTTGTCCTGCCAAAGGGCAGGGATATGATTAGACAAGCTTAACGTAGCTTAAGTGATTATGTTTGCTTCTCGATTCTTCAGAATGGTTAGGTCATTTAGTAGTCTGTTGGATTGAAATTCTACCGTTCTCTCATTCAGCTCTTCTTTAATGATTTTACCTGCTAAGTGAAAGAAGCAAAACTCACTGTTGGGTTGTTTCACAAAATGTTTGAACCTGGAGCCCCCAGAGCTTTTCAGAGGTTCAGTTTGAGGAAAAATCCAATGAAATAGGGAATAACTGCATGTTGCTATTGCCCTCCTTGTGAGCCGAGCACCCTTTTCATCAGCTTCACAGATTTCAATGTGGCAGTAAAATGTTGGAGAATTAGCAACAGTTGTATCCTAAATACCTACTTTGATGTCTTCAGCTCAATTCTCTGAGAAAAATATTTACCATAGTTACACAAAATCTAAATCAATATTAAAAATCTAGAAATTAAATGAATTGAAATACTCAGTATTGAAAGAATATTGACATGACTTAAAATGTATAGTTAGCTAACAGAATCTAAAAATTCAGTTTACCCACAACTTTTCAGGACCACATTTATTAGTATACTTGAATTCAGTCAACATTAAGATTTCTTCTAGGGTGTTAAAGATATGATGACGTAGAAAACTTTTTTATTTAAATTAGGCTCTACCCTTGGATTTCTTTTATCTAGATACTGTCTCACTGATTTTATGTGCTCCCATGGGCTAATTATCATCTCCGTGCACATAACTTAGAGATCTCTATATCCAACCCAAGGCAGAACCTTCACTTCTGCAGTGCCAGCTGCTTGTTGGACATTTCAGACTGGATGTCCTGAATACCTCTCAAACTCAACCTGTCAACACCGGAATTCGTTGTTTTTTTCCCTGAAGCCCACCCCTCTCCCAAAGGCACCATCATTCTTCCAGGCTCCCAGGTTCACCATATCAGCATCCTCCCCAAGTTCTCATTCTTGCTTCTCATGTATCCAGTCAGTTGCCAGACTTTGCTGTTTCTTCCTCATTTATATTTCTCTCCTTCAGCCCTCTCTTTCTGCTGGCCCTCAACGTCTCACCCGGTCTCATTGCTTCAGGTTCCTCACTCTTCCAGTCCATCCTCCACTCTGCTGTGTCACTCCATCAACTCCAATGGCTCCCAGTTATGCCTAGGAGAAAATATAAATTGTGTAGCTTTTTCCAGGCTAATTAAACATTACAGCCCATCCTTTGTGCTATAATCTATACAAATTACCCTTCTTGCTATTTATGTAATACTTCTTCCTTCTTCAAGCGTTTTATTTTTGATTGGCTTCCCCCTCTACCTGGAATGCACCCTCTCCTCCCCCATTTCATAAAAGCCTTCTCCTCCTGAAATATGGATCTCAAACACTGCCTTCTATGTGAATCCTCTCCTGTGCCCTCCCTAACCACATGTATTTACTTTGCATTTATTCAGTATGTATTTACTCTATATTTATATATGTATTTGTTCGGTGATTAAAAGTCCTACAGGGCCTGAGTTCAGACCAGAGGAATTCAGATCAGTTTCCATCCCTGTTTCCATTTCTCTTAAAAAGGAAAAACAAGAGAAACTACCTAAAATGTAAATTCCTTGAGAGAAAGGATTGTCTCATTGTTTGTATTTTGTAACTCCAGTGTCTGCAAAATAGTAGACACCTAATAAATGCTTGCTGAATGATTATATTAATAAAGTTTTAAATATGAAGAAACTAGGTTTCACCAAACCATTTAGCTGTCTGATGATCACATTACAACATTAATCTCTGTAGCTTTGTTCACGTCTCTCTTTGATTCTTTGTTTCACTTCATTTTGTGTTCCTACCTTCTAGGTTTACTTAGCTCGAAAAGAAGGATCATCATCTGCCTATGTTTCTTGGAAGTTTGAGTGTGGGTCAGCTGGGCTTAAAGTCAATACCATTTCCATTAGAACAAGCAGTCAGACGTTTACAAGTGGAAAGATCCAGTGGAATGTCCGTTCTGATTCTGCACAAGTACAACTGCCGGGAGGTAAGCATTATACTTAGAGGCTTAATCGTGGAATGTGTTTGCCATTTTAATGAGAGTGTAATCATATTGACTCAATGCTAAACATTATCAGGCCCAATGTAATTTTTTTAAAAATTCTATTTCGTCGTACAAAAGAGGATGATATTTTGTTGTTTCCAAATTCAAGTACAAGCAGATAAGTCCTTTAAGGTAACTGTGGTGTCATATGGAGTTGACTTTTTTGGCCATCTTAAAATAATTCGTATTTGTTTGGATAGGTTTTATTTTTTGGTGGGTGAGGGGTTGTGGTTACTAAAATACCCATTCCAAAACTGTCTCTTCAAGCTGTGGACTTAAATTTAAATGACTTAGGACAGAGCTTTAATTATTTTTTATTTCTTTCCACTCAACAGATAACAGCCTTCATTCCTATCGTGATTTTTCTGATGCCACAGAAGTTATTTTGGAAGCAAAACTAAGTGGAGGGGATGGTGATGTTGCCTGGCAACATACCCAGCTGTTTAGACAAAGCTTAAATGACCATGGAGAAAATTGTTTGGAGATAATTATAAAATTCAGTGACCTTTAAGAACTTGAACATTACAGAAATGCTGGCAATCATCAAGGACTTATCGTGGTCTAAAGTCTTCTGTTGATTCAATGAATGTTGGCAATTTACTGCTCTTCTCCCTGCTAACAGCATTCTTTTTTTGCTGGCCATTAATCATATCACTCGTGTCAAAATAATAAATCTTTATACCATGGATCATAGTGAAATCCTAGAATTTTTAAAGCTACCTCTCTTTAATATGCTAATTAATGTGTGTTAATGGTCAGAAGAAGACCTTACTACATGGGAATAATATTTTACATTAAAATTGCATACATAGTATCAAAAGCCAAATATGATGCCTTCTTAATGCCCCGTTCATAGTTCTGGTAAAACGTGAAATTGTCATTCTTGGTATTTTGGTGTTTTCCAGCCTCTAACACTGCCTTGCATATTGCTGGTGCTTCATGTTTCTTGAATTGGTTAACCTTGAATTTCTTGGTAGGTAGACAGTGGAATTGAAATTCTTTATGATTTTTAAACTTTTTTTTAATCTTTAAAATTAACAATTGAGAAATTATGATGCATGATAAAATTTTTATTGTAAATATGTAGGCATTTTAAAAATAAAATGAACTATTTTGCATTATGCCTTTTAGTGGTTGTTTTAAGACAAAATTTCCTAAGGCATTTTGCTTGAAAAGAAATGTAATAACTGTTTTTTTAGAAGAATGTCTTTCAAAATTTCCTCTTTAACCAACTCATCTAAGGAAAAAAAGTCACTTTTGACCTAAATTTTTATCCCTCTCTCTTTATAAAAATATCTATTCTGGATATTGGCATTCTATATCTATTTCATGTTGTATATAAAGCATTTTAATATTTTCTATAATGACTTCTTTGTTATATGTCACATATAAAGTATTTTGTTTTCTTTTGGCTAGGCAGTGGGGTTAAATGACTTGCCCAGGGTCACACAGCTAGTGAGAGTTATGTGTCTGAGACCTGGATTCTCCTGAATCCAGGGCCAATGCTCTACCCACTGCACCACCTAGCTGCACTTACATATAAAGCATTTTAAAATTTTGTGAAAGAGTTTACTCCATATCATCTTTTGGAGACAACAGAGAACATTGAAAGGAAAGCTAGAGATGGAGTTGAGACCTGACTGGTCAACCTCTCAGAGCTTTTGTTTTCTCATCTGTAAAATGGGGATAATACATAGATTGCCTTGAAAAGTTGTTGTGAAGAAAACATTTTATAAACCTAAAGTGTTAGATAAATGTGCATGAGAATTATTATGTATCCTTTTAGAACCGAGGATGATTTCAACTCTTACGAGCATATTTCATATCAAGAAAATTAGATTTTCTAAAGATTCTCTTTCCATTCTTATCCAACTCAATGGAAAATTAACAGGTGTTACTTATTTCAACATTTGAAGATTTATGGTTTTTATTGGTGTGGGTGAAATTTCCCTCCATTGATATGGACTACAATCTTTCTTCAACAGTTGCCCTGGCATTTTATCAACCAAATCAGTGACCAAACTTCTGGTGATGAGCCTTTGTAAACACATCTGTGTTTTTGGTTTTTGTTTTGTTTTGTTTTGTTTTGTTTTGTTTTGTTTTTTAGGCAGTTGAGGTTAAGTGAGTTGCCCAGGGTCACACAGCTAGTAAATGTCAAGTGTTTGGTTTGAGGCCTGATTTGAACTCTGGTCCTCCTGACTCCAGGGCCGGTGCTCTATGCACTGTGCCGCTTAGCTGCCCTAACACATCTGTGTTTTGGCAGTGACAGATGTACATCTGTTACTGGACCCATTGTCAAAAGCTGTTCCTCCTCCCCTGGCATTGCTTTTTGTGAACAGAGTAGCCTCCGTGCCACAGCAAGGCCCCTGAATAAGACTGACCTTCACAAGAGGTCCAAGAGTTCCCAAAGAGGATTTCACTGGCTGGTGTCCATGCTGAATCAAATAGAGGGATTCTGCTTTTGAAATAACAAGTGTCCACACCGAGCACTGCTTCTTGGAGTTTTAAACCCTGAGCTATGCGCAGCATCCCGTAGGGGTGAGGGGGACAGCAAACTATTAGACCTGGCTGGAGAATTAAAATCATCACCTACCTTTTAAGCAACTGGTCCTGGTGCAGCTGCACACGGAAAGTTTTTATTGGCAGGAAGAGGAGTCCCTTGAACTGTTATAGAAAACCACATAGCCGCTGAAAATGGCTTCCCAAGAGAGGATATCAAAAATCAAAATGCTAGAGGGGTGCTTTCCTGTGCGCGCGTGCGCACGCACACACACACACACACACACACACACACACACACACACACACACAC